TGACTATTCAATCCTATAGAAGGGGGTGCGATATAAGTTGGAAGACTAAGCCAAAATCTAAACTATTAGTCCTTTTTATAATCCTAACTCAATCCAAATATAAGATATGATAAATAATCCAAAGTGATTCATAATCCTAGGACTATTAATCATAAGAATATTAATCCAAACTAATTCAGTCCGTTCAAACAAACATGACCTAAAGGACCAGACTAGCTTATAATTTTTACTTGGAATTTAAGGGCTTTTAACTTAGGCATTGAAGAGTCCGTCAGCTAACCACTTCGGACAAAGATATCTTCTTTTGTTTTGCAGTATTTTGAGAAGTTGGTAAAATGTTAGTTTTTTTGATTTTTTTTGATTTTTTGTGATTTTTTGGCTTTTTTGTGTAAAAAAAAAGGAAAATGTTTGGAGCTCAAATTTATGTGGCTCAAATGGCTCAAATCTGTCAAAACGACTTTATTTTACACTCATTTACATTCAAAATGACGTCGTTTTGAGTGATTTGAGTCATTTGAGCCACGAAATTTTGAGTTACTTAACATTGTTAAAAAAAATGAAGAGATGATGTGATTAAAAAAAGTTAAAAAACCAAAAAATAACTTTTTACTATGTTGTCAAAAGGCCTCTTACATTTGCAAGTCAATTAACAGTGAATTATTATTTTTGTGGTATCTATTTTCTTTGTATAAATTTTCTGCCGACATTATATGTGACATTATGCAATGGGAAAGTCATAATTTAAACGTTACAAATCTTACTTAGGGTCATTTTGAGAAAATAATTAAAAGTTATTTTTCAATTTTTAACCTATTTTGAATCATATCATCTCTTATATTTTTTATATATTTTTTAAAAAAAATTAAAAAATGTCAAAAAATTAACTTTTAACCATCTTTCTGAAACAAACCTTAATACTAATTACATATTTGGGAATGTTCAACTTTAATATGATGAATATTCATATATTGTATTGAGCCTCCGTTTGGGAAGTAGGTTGGCTTTTTAACTTTTGGATTTTTTTGGCTATTTTAACCTGGGTTAAAAAGTTTAATTTGGGAAGGACTTTTTAGCTTTTTAATTTTTTTTGACTTTTTTTTGTGAAAGAATAGTATAATGATTATGGATTTGATGTGATATTTTATTTATTATGACTAAAATAACTTATTTTATCTTTTATGACTATTTTAACCACAAACCAACTTATCAAACAATACCGAATGTGGATAATACTCTTTTAGCTCTTCCAACATTAGTAAAGGCGTCTTGAATCATGTGATTTAAGAGCATGTACGTAATATTAATATGGCAATACTTTTGTCTTATATTTAACTGAAAAATATATATATATATATTTTGAACAAGAAAAAAAAGGTTATGTGGTGTCATCACGGCCCTGTTAGGTGCTAGTCCCGGGATAACCGGTTGCCAGTTAGGAATTAACCCCCATCAAGTGAGGGACCCACCACCAAGGTACCAATAGAAGACATCCACACGCCGCAGCAGAGGACAGGGTTTGAGGGGAGTATAAGCATGTTCACAAGGAGTGATTTCAAACATCCCTCCCAAGAATCGACCCTGACTCTCAGCTAGGGAATGTGCCGCATCCTTCACCAGGCCACCAACCCTGGTGGTTAACTGAAAAATATTTATCACCAACAAATTAGGTATCGGAGATTTTTACCATAAATTCTATCATTTTCAAACGATAATTAATATTAATATATTTTAAACTTAAGATTTTAAATTAAATAAAAAATAAATTTTAATTTATTAGTGAAGCCAAATATTGTTATTATTTTTTAAATAGTGAAAAGCACACACTCATACATGCCGTTATATGTTATTTAGTTCATGATTTGATTTGATTTATTTTTATGAGGACATATTTTATTATTTTTTTTAATTTTTTTTCAACGGTACTTCCATTGCTAGATTGCCCAAAAAGTCGCCAAGATATGAACAAATAGGTAAATTCGGTATAGATAAAAAGTGAGAGGACACAAGAGGTAATAGATCACACATGCATAAATAAGTGAACAAACATATGAGCGGAAGAAAAAATAGATAGAGATAAAACAATGTTTCAGCCTCCGTTTGGGAAGTGAGTTGGTTTTTTGGTTTTTTGGTTTTTTTGACTATTTTAGTCTGGGCTAAAAAGTTTGGTTTGGGAAGGACTTTTTAGCTTTTTGGCTTTTTTGATTTTTTTTGTGAGAGAATAGTGTAATGATTATGGGTTGGATGTGATGTTTTGTTTGTTGTGGCTAAAATAGCCTGTTTTGTCTTTTGTGACTATTTTAGCCCCAACCCAACTTGCCAAACACCACCTCAAATTATAATTATTCTTTGGTTCCAAAAGAATAAATATCGGACCTATTAATTCAAAAAATTTAAAAGGAAAGGAGTTTTTTTTTTAAGGTCCCTGATATTAAGATTGTATAGCATAAAGGTCATTCAATATTTTCATAATGTCTAAGGTTCCTTAACAATATTTTCATAATGCCTAAGGTCCCTCAACTTTGATCCAGAGAAATTTCAGTCCAGAGAAAATTGGTCCAGAGAAATTTCAGTCCAGAGAAAATTGGTCCAGAGAAATTTCAGACCAAATTTCTCTGGAAAGTCTAATTATTCTCAGAATTTCTCTGGCCCAATTCTTCCTAGAATTTCTCAGCATTTCTCTAATGCATTAGCTGAGTCCAGAGAAATTTTGAATTTCTCTGGTCCAATTCTTCTCAGATTTTTCTGGCCCAATCCTTCCTAGAATTTCTCTGATGCATTGACTGACTGGAGAAGTGGTTGATGGAGAAAATTCAATCCAGAGAATTTCTCTCAAGAAAAATTTCTGAAAATTTCTCTGGATTTCGAAATTTTTCTCCAGAGAAATTCTCTGGATTCTCTGTTTGTGTTTTAACCAAATTTCTCTGGATTTCAGAATTTCTCTCCAGAGAAATTCTTATACCAAGGCTTCTAGATCTCAACAGTTACATCCAAGGCTTTAACTTACATCTGGAGAAATGGTCTTTAACTTACATGACTGATAACTTACATTCTCTGTAGTATCATGACTGGATTTCTCTCCAGATGGTCTTTAACTTACATCCAAGGCTTTTAGATCTCAACAGTTGAACCAAAAGGTACAGAGAAGAAAAAAAGCATATAAGATCAAGGCTCTACCATAAATATATATATATATATATATAATAGAAATTTTGAATAAGCAACAACAAAGAGAGAGAGAGAGAAAGAGAGAGAGAGACCTGGTGAGAGATAGCGTAACAGTGGAAAGAGAAGTGAGATCGGAAGCGGAAGGAGGAGACTGACACCGGCGGTGGCGATCTATCTTCTTGAGTAGATTTTAGAGCTTCATCGATGCAAACTTTCATCTACAGAGTTCCAAACTAGGTTTGAGGAAGATAAAGAGGCAACTTTGTTTATAAACCACTCAGAAACCTCTCGCCAACGAAGCTGACTCCGCTCCCCAGGGCCACGAAAATGTCACTACTTTGATTGAGTTCTTCCAAGCAGACGGTAGATGTAATATAAGGGTACGGGGTGAGGGACCTTAGACTACAACAAAACAGATTGTGGACTTAATCCATTACTAAAAGTTGGATAAAGACTTTAGACCGATTTTCCCAAAAGGAAAATTACAAATTATTAATATTTTTATAAAAATATTTATAAATTTATAAAAAAAATTATAATTTTAATTATTAAAATTACTCATTTCGTCTCAAAATATTAGTCTTTTATTTTATTTTTCATTGTCTCATAATATTAGTTATTTTTCAAAAATCAATGACTAAAATAATATAAATTTTTTACTTTGTCATTATTTTAAATTCATTAATATTAATATTTTTGAAATGTAATAATTATACTATCAAAGGATATGTTTGAAAATTTAATATTTTTAAAATATAATAATTGTATTACTAAAAAAAATTAAGGCCTTGTTTGGTTTGTTTTTGAGAAATAAATTTTGGAGAAATTTTTTTAAAATTTTGTTAGGTTTAGTAATTTTGAAAAAAAAAAATTCAAAATCACTTTCGCTCTCCTACGCATCAATCAATCACTTTTTCTCTTTCCTCTCTCATTCTCAATCACTTTTTCTCTCACGCACATCTATTCAATGATAACAAAATATCAAATCATTCCAAACTCCTATACTTCAAATCTATTTCCAAAATATATAACAAACAACCAAAAAAAAAATTAAAATCTTTTTCTAAAATTATTTTTGAAAATTTATCTCTCAAAACCAATCCAAACCAAAAACACTCTAATTTTTTTTAAAAATTAATATTTTAAGATAAAGAGAGTGATAAATTTTGTCACTAATTTATATATTTTTTTAAAAAAAATTCCCATTTAAAAAATACACATCTAGCCTGAGACTGTTGTATATATATTAGTATTTTATAATTTCTCGTTAAGAATTTGATTCTTGAAGTAAACAGGTCAATGGGATTACTACAAAAATCATAAAACTAAAAAAGCCGCTCAACAAGAAGCAATGATGTTTCACACTAAAAAACAACAACCAGTCACTGACTCACTGAATACACACCCAGACTGAAAGAGAGAGAGAGAGAAAACGAATCCGTATCTCAAATTTTTCCACACTAACACGCATGCATTTATTGCATTTTCTATCGCTAAATATCATAACAACAAATCAATACTATCAAAATAAATAAAATAATACATTTATTTTTTAAATTTAGTGATATGTATATAAAAAATTAAATTTAATTATTTTCTTAACATATTATTAGATTTAAAGAATAAATTTTTGACTTATTTTGAGAAATAAATTAAAAGCTAACTTTAAACACTTTCTAATTTTTTTTGAAAAATTATATAAAAAATTAAAAAATTAATTTTAATGCAGTTTCAAAGGAGGCCAGTATATCATTTTTTTTTATTAAATTTGAGCGAAATCCAAACACATCTCAAAGCTGTCGGCGTTAACCAAGGCAGCCCCCACTACTATAAATACTCCAACCCTACTTCCCACTTTTCTCCCACCCCCCTCTCTCTCTCTATAATGGCGGTTGAAGCACTGCACCTCAAAAAGAGCGCCACCGTGCTGACCGCCGCCTCCAAGGACCATCCGCCGCCGCTGCCGCCGCCAGCACCGGCGAAGGAATCGCACTTTCGTGGCGTGCGGAAGCGTCCTTGGGGGCGTTTCGCGGCGGAGATCCGCGATCCGTGGAAGAAGACTCGGCGGTGGTTGGGGACCTTCGACACGGCGGAGGAAGCCGCCAGAGCCTACGACGATGCCGCCAGGAGCCTCCGCGGTCCCAAGGCCAAGACTAACTTCGTCCACGGCTGCCTCTCTGCCGCATCTCCGATTTCTCCGGTTCCGATGCCGACTCCGGTGCCGGTGATTGATGCATTTTCTCCGTCGGCGAAGTTCTGCCCCAACGACGACGGATGCCGGAGAGTTTTCGCTCCCGGACTTTCTCAGGCGGCGCGTGGACCGGCGCGTTCTCAGTACAGTGGATATAACCTTGAGACGGTAGGTATAGTTGTGAATGAACAAGAAAAGAAGATGAGAGCTGAGAAGAAACCGTTTCTGTTCGATCTGAATCTGCCGGCGCCTCTATTCTGATCGGTTCGATCGATCGCTTTGTTCTGGTTTTTTGGGTCGCAGAAGCACCGGAATCTAGCCGGAGGGAAAAGAGAGGAAGATTTTGAACTCTTTTTCCAATTTTACCCTTTTCTCTCATATTATATATATATATATATATATTAGTTTCGCCGTGTACAGTGGATTTGCGAACTTCATGGTTACTCTGAGTTCAAAACGGGTTTGTTATGACTCACTCGGTGGTGTTTTGGTTCAGAGGCGTATCTAATTGACTCAGCTTTTGCCTCGTTATTATTAATGGCCTATAATATTTTACAGTTTTGTTATTATTATCTACTGTTAATCTCGTGATTGCATGAATGAGTTGATACAATACAATAGACGCCACCCTACCCCAAATCTTTTATTAAATTTAAGTTGATGAAAAATTTAGCGAAAATGACTTCCAATCATTTCATCAAATTAACGTCTCGTTTGAGAATATTATTTTTTAGTTTAAAAATTAAAAATTTATTAAAAAAATTAAAAAATTAAAAAATTAAAAATTTATATCAAAAAATTAAAAAAAAAAAAATCTCTACTTTTGCACATTTTTTTTTATAAAAAACTAAAAAATAATCATAAACATACTAATTTTTTTATCATATTTTAACCAAAAAATCAAAAAGTTATTAAAAAAATCTGTTTCCATTATTAGATAATGCAAGAGATATTAAATTTTTTACCAAATAAATAATTAAATGTCTCATGGGTGTGACATCTGTAATTTTGTAAATTCGACACCTATGTGAGATATTTAGTGATTTATTTAATAGAAAATTTGAGATTTTTAGCATTTTTTTCTTTGATTTGATGAAATTTGGTGAAAGAAACTTTTGTAGCATTCAATTTTTTTAGGCCTCGTTTGGGAACAGGTTATTTTAGTAATTTTTTGACTTTTTAACTAAAATATGAGGTAAAAAAAATTAGTATGTTTGGGATGATTTTTTTAATTTTTTACAAAAAGATGTGCAAAAAGTAGAATCTTTAATTTTTTTAAATAAGTTGTTGGCTTTTTAATTTTTTTTAGTAACTTTTGGGCTTTTAGGCTAAAACAATCACTTGTCAAACGAGACTTAAATTTGATTAAGAGTTGGTTTGGGGTGTGTTATATAATTTTTTTTTTTTTTAAAATCATATCATCTCTCTATTTTTTTATATATTTTTTTATAAAAAAATAAAAAATATATATTTATTTAGATCATTCCTAACAACTCTGTGAACATTTTATAAAAAAATTGAAGGAAATGAGGATTGCAGCATTTATTTTTTTCACTAACTCAAGTTTTTGGGTAAATTTGATGGAAAGTTATTGGAATATCCTATATTAAATTAAACTTTTAACATTTTATTCAGTTTAGATAGAAATAAAGATCGGAGATGTTCTCAAGCAACAATTAGTAAATGAATGATTGTTTTAAATTGTTAATTTGATCCTTAGGATGTGTGTCGAATGTAACCCAATTAAAAGAAATATTTACAAACATAATTAAGTTAACTACACATTCATGCATTTTTCAGTAAAATTTGATTTTGGTTTGTTTATTTTTAATTATGTTGCAAACCGGCTGCACTATAATTAATTACTTGTATTTTTCAGTCCCATTGCATATTTCTTGCTTTTTTTATTGTTTTAAGAAGTAGGTTAGAAATTGATTTTTTTATTTTTTTTTTTTGACTCTTTTTTTAAAAAAAAAGTGTTAAAAAAGTAGAGAGCTAGTATAACCTAAAAAAGTCAAAAACTAAAAAAAACAATTTTTAGTCAAGTTGCCAAAACAAGTCATCTCTATTTTTATCAAAATTTTGATTTAATTGTTGTAATATCAGCAAATTTTCATTTTAGCTACATGTATAATCAAGTAACTAATAACATGAGACTGTAGAATTACTGTGAATTGGATGCCAACTACAAATTCCATCAAATTTTATAGTCTCGTAATATTAGTGGGAATCTATTTTTATTAACTTTTGATATAATGGAATTAGGATCACATCAAATCAGGCTTAGACTTACAAAAATGGTACATAAGTCCGCTCTCGAATTAAGTCCATTTGAATTTTTTTTGTAACAAGTTAGATTTTGAATTTTTTACCAGTCAGTCCCATAATTGAATCTATTACTTAATAAGTCATAAGTTTCTATCTTATGCACTAAGAAGTCCTGTTATATTTTTTTTTATCCCAACTTTGCCCTTGTTATTATACTTTCACGCGTTTGATTTTTTTCTCCTAGTTTTTCGTTTTATTTTTGAACCTCAAATTGCGAACCTCCGATAATATTTTTTTGGCCATTTTTCATCTCCAACATGTCACCACCACAATCACCTCCTCAGATCTAGTGGCGATAAGAGAAAAAGAGAAGAAAAAAAAAATAAAAAGAATGAAGGAGAGAGATGAAAAACCATTACTAGAGAATAATTTTCATCATTTTACACTATCACAAATCAAGCCAAAGAATCAAAAGTCTAATTCAATGATAAATTTATCATGCAACAAATCTCAACCAGAGTTACAATGATAAATTTATCACTGTTGAATTTGTTAAAAAATTTACAAATAACAGACTTTATTTGAGAGAGAAATGGGCATCACAACAAATTTATCATTCATAAATTAAGTAATAAATTTATCAATGAATTAAGTAACAAATTTATCACTGAATTAAGTAACAAATTTATCAGATCAGTTACTCTTCTGTAGAAGATCAACATCTTTCAATGCACTAATTCGATACTTTGCATCCCAAACCGGTGATGGAGGAAGATGGTGGCAACGACGATATCGAAGATGGTAGATCGGTGATGGAGGAAGATGGTGGCAACGACGATGTCGAAGATGGTAGATCAATGATGAAGGATTGCAGTGTTGAAGCAATCAGATGAATGATGAGGGAGGAGGAGCGGTGATGGCAACGAGGGAGAAGGACGATGGTGGTTGAGGCGAGTGTGGTTGAACCGAGTAACATATATAGTGATGGAGAAGGAGGAAATGGTGTGCCAATGAGAAATATGAGAGTGAGAGAAAGAGAAGAGAGAGAAATATGAGAATGAGAGAAAGAGAAGAGAGAAATAGAAATAGGGATGTGTTTGAGTTTAGGATAAAATCACTCAACTAAACCTAAGAGATAAAAATAGAAGATGAGCTAAATTATTTTGAGTCAGGACTTCTTGCAAATTAAGTCTGGTCTAAAAGATCGACCCGTAACTCCCCTTTAGATTTTTGACTCACGAACGGGCATAGGCTTACCTCATTGGAAACGAGTTAACCCAACTTAGGTATGTGTTTGGGTGGGCGCAACCTTCGAACCAATTGATGACCCTTATAAAAGGATATAGAGGACATGTATTTAATCTTTTTTTTATGGAAAAAAAAAAAGAGTGGTGTTCAAATTAAATTTGAAAAGATGTAGAGTGACTTAAATCAGTTTGGGTAAGCTTTTTTTAGTAATTTTCAAATATATTGATATGTATAAAAGATATATTAATTTTTTTTTAAATATGTAAAAATATATATTGGGGAAATTATAATAAAAAAAACTTCACGGTTTAACTTCCGTAATAAAATAAATGTTAAAGTTTTAACTTTATCAATTTAAAGATTCGCCTATTTTTATTAAGTAAAATCAACGCATTTAAGATTTAAATTGACAAAAAAAATACCATTTAATTTTATTGATTTTACTTAATAAAAATAAACAAATGATTTCGATTGAAAATAAATTAAAAGATTATAATTTAAATTGATAAAATTAAAAATTTAGAATTTATTTTGTTATAAAGTTGAAAATCTAAATTATTTTTAATTTTTTTTTCCTAAAAATGTATTCAAATTATAAAAAAAAATAAATTGATATTTTGTATTCTTTATTAATAATGCTTGAGATTGTCAGTGGTAGCACTCTTAGGGGTTGATTGGGGAGTGACTTTTTGGTTAAAATAGTCACAAAATCAAATCAAATTATCACATCACACTATTTATTTTGGATTAATTACCTAAAAGTCCTATTTACTAATACTGTGGTAGCTTAGATCCTATTCAAGATTTTTTGAACCAACAAATCCTATTTTGAGATATAAATACGTTTTTTCCTTTCATTCCTTTGGGTTGATTCGACTATACAGTAAAACTAAGAATATTATCAGTTTTTTCTAATTTTAAAATTAAAAATTTTATCAGTTTTTGTAATAACCCTGACCCGTAGTTAGCTACTAATTAGTAATTAAGAATGTTAATTAAGCGGATTAAATAAATTATGGGTTTGTTATGTAATTTGCATGACCTTTGGCTTCCTATCTGTTATTGGTGGAAATATCTGTCTAGAAATCTACTTTAATAAAGATTAAAAGCCTTATCGGCATCTGAAATTGAAATTAGTTACATTAATGTGTTATTTGGAATTTTCAAAACACCATGGAAAATTTTATTAAAAATGGATTCGGTTTGATGAAAATTGCATGTGAGTAAATGGAACCTTGATGGGAACTATTTTGTATTAATTGAATTTCGTGCCAACCTGAATAAATTAGGGTTACTTATATCTGATTTAAATAATGCACAAGTGATGCCTAACCTAATCCTATTAATGATCCAAAATGTGATTTAGTGTGTAATGTGTTGGGGCATTTTTGTAGTGTTGAATGTAGGAGATAAATTCTTGTGTGTGAGTTGGAAGCTTGCATGTGTGCGTGCACATGTAGTGTGCTCAAGAAGTGAGGTGGGTGTTGTGTACTTCAGCCGACTGAGAGAGTCTTTGTGCCATTCTTTTGCTCCTCTAGTCCTCTGGGTTGAGAGAGTTGGCCTTAGAGAGAGAGAGACAGAGAGAGAGAGTTTAGCTAAGAGAGTGAGAGAGTGAGCTCAAGAGGTTGAAGAAGAGGAAGGAAACTGAGAGGATTCACTCCCACACTTCTGAAATCAAGCTCTAGGTAAGAGTCCTTAGCATATCTTCTGCAGCTAGCTTCCATGCATCATGATTTCAACTCATCTTTGAACAATTCTCATTAAATTGAAATGAAGTTGAAAATGGCTTGTGTGCATGTTATGGAGGATTATACCTTGTTCATTCGTGTCTTGGGATTTGCTCTTAGAGTCCTTGCATGCATGTAAGTTTTAATCATGTTTATAGCTTCAGAACTCATGAGTGTGTAGATCACCATTTGTATGTTTTGAAGGAAGTAAGAAAATGATTTGAAAATCTTTCATGCATGAGCTTACAAGTTTAAATTTGCCAAATCCATGAGTTTTGAGCTAAAGGTTTGAAAAGGGCTATGTATCTGTGTTTCAGTAAAGTTTT